TCAACCAGGTTGGGGGCACAGAAAGAGGACTTGGTTTTGGGAAAAAAAAAAAAAAAAAAAAAAAGCACATTTGTTTTGAACATGTTGTGCTAAGGATACCTACCAGAATTTGTTTTATGAACAGTTAGTTGGAAATACAGATTGAAAGAGGAGTCAGGGCCAGGCATGGTGGCTCACACCTGTAATCCCAGGACTTTGGGAGGCTAAGGCGGGCGAATCACGAAGTCAGGAGTTCGAGACCAGCCTGGCCAACACATGGTAAAACCCTGTCTCTACTAAAAATACAAAAAATTAGTGGGCATAGTGGCAGGTGCCTGTAATCTCAGCTACTCGGGAGGCTGAGGCAGCAGAATTGCTTGAACCCAGCAGGCAGAGGTTGCAGTGAGCCGAGATCACACCACTGTACTCCAGCCCGGGCGACGGAGTGAGACTCCGTCTCAAAAAAACACACACAAAAAAAAAAAAAAAAAGGAAAAGAAAGGAAAGAAAGAGGAGTCAGGGCTAGAAGTACAAATTTATGAGCCATTTGGGATCATGTCTGAAGCTGTGGGAATGAAGTTTCAGGGAACACTAATACATATGGCATACTGAGAAGAAACCAGAGGAGCAACTACTTTGCTCAAAATGAAAGCTCTGATTCAGGATTGTCAGAAACAGAGAGCCATTAAACAAATGTACATTGAGAGCAAACTACATGCCAGGCACTGCCCTGGAGCTGGAAACTGGAACATACAAGTCAACCCATGGAAAGCTCACATTGTCACAGAGGACACAACCCTATAATAAACCTGGTACCCCAAAAGAGGGAAACCACCACGAGAGAAGTAGGCAGGGTGCAGGCAGAGTGTGGAGATGGTAAGTGCCTGGGGGAGGCCCAGGCTAGCTACAGGGGCCAGGTAAGGCCTCCCTAGGAGAGGACATTTGAGCTGAGACCTGAGACTAGGAGAGCATTAACTGAGGACTTATTAAGTACAAGGATCTGTTCTAAGCATTTTAAGTACATTATCCTATTTAATCCTTACAACAACCCAATGATGTAGGTGCTGTTATTATCCTCATACTAAAAATAAGGAAACTTAACCACAGAAATGTTAAGTAACTTCCCCCACACAGCTAGCAAGCTGGCAGAGAAGACCCTGACTCAGACAGTCTAGCTTCAGACAGCCCATGCTCTTCCCCACTGCACAAACTGCTTCTCACTGTCTGTGATAAATGCTCCTATTAATAGAAAATGAGTTCAAGAAGGAAAATGCGATCAACAGTGATCACAGTGGTTCACAGCACAACTAGAAATAATTGCAAGTGCTTGGTCTTTGCTATGTTACTAGTTAAAGCATGGACGCTTCATAGAGAATTGGTCAGTAGCCCCAGATTCAAGTGTCAGGTTCACTATTCTCTCATTCCGTAACCTGGGGACAGAGAAGCAATGACCTCTACGAACCTTCATTCTTTTCACCAGTAAGATAGGTCTAACACACAACTCCAAAATTACCGTGAAGATAGAGATAAAATCCACATACATGACAATCTCTAGCAGACAATGTTATCTTCAGGAGCTGGCTGATGCTGGGGAAAGGTTCTCAGTACAGATAGCACACCATGACGTCTTCATAAAAAGCTGAAGCTCATAGCAGGTGCGGCACTGAAAACAGGACACTTTAGGTGACAGCCTACAGACTGCTATTCTGAGAAAAGATCTTCAAGGGGTGGAAAAAATCACTTTTAGAACTCCAACTGGTCTTATCAATTTTTAAGGAAAATTAAATTTGTCATATTTGCCACTGAAAATCAGCTCAAATATACAACAGGAAAGCTTATTTCACTGAAACTCAGTTCGTTCCAAAGTGACTCAATCAAAAAAGATAGGCTTCTTCTGTGTTCTACCTTTTCTCCCCCTACTTTCCTCATACCAGACAATAAAGTAGAGGTAGAAACAAAATAGCAACATGAAAACAAATTCTAATAGCTCATGGGAAGAACAGACATCAAGATCCCAAAGTTCTATGTTAAATGCCGTAAGAGGAACCACCACTGTGCAATGGTGGTCCAGAAAGAGCGCGCTCAGCCAGCTGGATCAGGAATGATTATGAAGAAAGGATTTGATCACGGCTTTACAGGGCTTTAAAGGGCAAACTACGGTTTCCTGCAGTGGCTTTGGAAGACAGCATCCACAAGGCCCTGAGAGGCATGGCTTTCCCTGCCTTTGTCTCCTACAGCATCCACCACTCTCCTAGCCCCGACTGCCAGCCACAAGGGCAGCTCTGTTCCTCTCAGGAACCTTCGAGGCCACCCCTACATGCAGGCATCTGCACTTGCTCAGGATCAGAAATACTTCTGGTCTGTGAATGAGCTTCACACTGCTGGTCTCAAGGGGAATATAACCTTCTCTGTAAAGCCTTCACTGAGCACCTGCCCCTCTAAAGTTCCCACCTGTACATGCCCCATATCCACCCCCATCACTCCTCCACACAAACTCTTTAACATTCTATTTTACTTTCTTTATAGTACTTATAAAGTACTATGGAAAATTATCGTGTTCAATTTTTTTACTGGATTATTTTCTGCCCATCTCCATCCTCTACTAAAAATTAAGTCACATAAGTGCCTAGATATTGTCTTTCTTTTTCACCCTTATATTCCCAGCACCTGGCAGGAAGTAAAGAGCTCAATAAATATTTATTGAATCAATACAGGAATGCAGAAGAGCATGATCAAGTTGCAGAGGCAGAAAAATAAAAGCTGAGTTTGAGAAAGTGGTAAGTTGTATGTTCTGGTCCAGCTGGGCACAGATGGATGAGGTGGGACAGGTTGCTTGCAGAGAACTTGATGCAGTTTGGACTGAGTAGATAGCGGGAGAGCTTCTGAGAGTGTTTGATCAGGCAAGGCCTTGAGCAGCGCTGTCGTTAGAGAGGATTAGGCCAGCAACTATGAATAGGATGAACTGAAATTAAGCTAGAAAGCCCAGAGAAAACCATTTGTTACCCCTAAAATTGGCAAAGATTAAGAAGTCTGACAAATGTTGGAAAGTATCTGCGGAAACAGTTTTCCAACAGTTGAAAATCAATTTGGTAATATCTCTTAAAAGTTAAATTGTGCATATTCAAAATGTAGCAATCCTGCATCTAGGAATCAAGACTAAGAAACTATTGCCTATATATTAGTGAAAAAATTATAAACAATCATATATTCACTAATAAATTGATAAAATGTGGTATTATTTATGCTATGAAATACCAGATAGCAAATAGACGGGCGTGGTGGCTCATACCGGTAATCCCAGCACTTTGGGAGGCCGAGGTGGGCAGATCACCTGTGGTCAGGAGTTTGAGACCAGCCTGGCCAAGACAGTGAAACCCCGTCTCTACTAAAAATACAAAAATTAGCCGGGCTTGGTGGTGGGCACCTGTAGTCCCAGCTACTTGGGAGGCTGAGGCAGGAGAATTGCTTGAACCCAGGAGGCAGAAGTTGCAGTGAGCTGAGATTGTACCACTGCACTCCAGCCTGAGTGACAGAGCAAGACACTGTCTCAAAAAAAAAAAAAAAAAATGCTAGACAGCAATTAAAAATAATGAATATGGCCGGGCGCGGTGGCTCAAGCCTGTAATCCCAGCACTTTGGGAGGCCGAGGCGGGCGGATCACAAGGTCAGGAGATCGAGACCACAGTGAAACCCCGTCTCTACTAAAAATACAAAAAATTAGCCGGGCGCGGTGGCGGGCGCCTGTAGTCCTAGCTACTCAGGAGGCTGAGGCAGGAGAATGGCGTGAACCCAGGAGGCGGAGCTTGCAGTGAGCCGAGATCGCGCCACTGCACTCCAGCCTGGGCAACAGCGTGAGACTCCATCTCAAAAAAAAAAAAAAAAAATAATAATGAATATGTATAGATGTGTGTGTGCGTGTGTCTGTACAAAAACATGGCTAGACCTTAAAAACAATACTCAGAGAAAGCAAACAAATCATATAACAGTGGGCTGGGCATAGTGGTTCACACTTGTAATCCTAGCACTTTGGGAAGCAAAGGAGGGAGGATCTCTTGAGGCCAGGAGTTTGAGACCAGGCAACATTGTGAGATCCCATCTCTACAAAAAAAAAAAAAAAAATTAGCCAGGCATAGTGGCACACATCAGTAGTCCTAGCTACTTGAGAGGCTGGAGCAGGAGGATCACTTGAGCCCAGGAGGTCACGGCTGCAGTGAGCTATGATCATGCACTCCAGCCTGGGTGACAGGGTGAGATCTTATCTCTCTAAAAAAGAAACTATTTATGTATATTTAAATCCATAAAACAATACTACATATTAACTATGGGTACATATAAGTATATATAAAATATTAAAAAGTATACAAACTGAACATGGGCTCTGGGACATGAGGACAGAAGGAGGAAATGGAATTAATATTCAAAGGAACTTGATTTTATCATCAATGTTTTAGTTCATTAAAAAGTTGAATCACGGCCGGGCGCGGTGGCTCAAGCCTGTAATCCCAGCACTTTGGGAGGCGGAGACGGGCGGATCACAAGGTCAGGAGATCGAGACCATCCTGGCTAACACGGTGAAACCCCATCTCTACTAAAAAATACAAAAACCTAGCCGGGCGAAGTGGCGGGCGCCTGTGGTCCCAGCTACTCGGGAGGCTGAGGCAGGAGAATGGCGTAAACCCGGGAGGCGGAGCTTGCAGTGAGCTCAGATCCGGCCACTGCACTCCAGCCTGGGCGACAGAGCCAGACTCAGTCTCAAAAAAAAAAAAAAAAGTTGCATCAGATATGACCATAATAATAGCAGTTGTTAATTTCGAATGATGGGAATATAGTAGCGTTTACTGGGAATCAGAAGAGAGACGCTAGACACAGATGGAAAAACCAACAGGATTTCAGGACTGGGTGGGTTAGTGGAGGGTATAAAGTTGCCAGAAAGAATGAAGAGTAAAAATCATATTCTCTAGAGGCTAGCCACACCATTAAAAGAACTAAAAAGCAATGAGCTCTACTTTAGAAAGGTTTACCTTATTAATGAGACAGCCAAATCACGGTCAGCAAAAAGTCAGAATTCAAAAACCCAAGCGGGCACTGACAAGCTATCCTGCAAAAATAAGGAACAAAATAGGTGCCTCAATCAATATCCTCAAAAAAAAATTTTTTAAGACTTTTTTAAGGTCCATAGAGAGTTCACTTTGTGTATTTGGCTTGTTTACAATATATATAGAAACCCAACCACAGTGTCCTATACTCAACAATTGAAAGTGAGGTTACTAAATTTTAATACACATTTCTAGAAAGCCTGGGGGTCTGATTCTGAAAATCAGCCATTCTACTAAGATAACTTGTTAAAAGTTTCCTTTCAGTAAGCAAAATTGACTGACAGAGCAAATAATGATCCAAATTTACACTGTTCAAATTAAAATTTCAAGCATTAACCTCTATTCTGAAATCAAGCTGCCTGTCTCTACATAAAGATTATCAACTTCCAATTATCAGAAGAATGCAGCTTATCTTTATTATGTACCCCCCACAATATTTCATGATATTTACATGTTTGCATAGTACTTTCCTATCCTTTTGTAACATGTTTTGCAACTCCTGAAAAGTCAACAGTCTTAGCTCTTCTCTAAAGGGGGAAACACAAGAGACAGGGTGACTAGTTCAGGGTGACTCACAGGCAGAGTCAATATTGGAACTCGGAATACTGAGCCTGGCATTCCAAGTTCCCAAAACCTTTAGGCTCTTGCTAATCCCAGCAGAATTTTCTTCTTTACAGGGCTGTGCTTCTTTGAGGTCTCTGAGACCAGAATGTTAGTGTCCAAAGCTTTCTCCTTCAAAAGTAGTCAACAGTCAGAAATAAATGTTGGCCTGCAAGTTCAATGTTTTTCTTTTTTTTGAGACAGGGTCTCACTCAGTTGCCCAGGTTGGAGTGCAGTGACACGATCATGGCTTACTACAGCCTTGACCTCCTGGGCTCAAGCACTCCTCCTGTTTCAGCCTTTCAAATAGTTGGGACCACAGCCACACCCCACCACACTCAGCTAATTTTTAAATTTTTTGTAGAAATGATGGTCTCACTTTGTTGCCCAAGTTGGTCTCAAAGTCCTGGGTTCAAGGGATCCTCCCACCTTGGCCTCCCAAAGCGCTGAAATTACAGGTATGAGCCACCACTTCCAATCCATCTTCACTTTTTAAAAGACATAGCTAAACTGCATTGATACAACCTAACAATCTCCCTAATTAATGTAGCTTTGCTGGTAATTGTTTTTTTTAGAGTCCTCTGGTTAAGATTGGGTTAAATTCAAATCAAATGGTACTGTTTAAACTATTTGCTGTTTTTTGTGTTTGTTCGAGTTACTGCTATCTTGGACATGCTGAGCTTCTAACTGCCACAGGGCTAGTTTGCTGGTACTGACCTTATAAAGCCAACAGTTAGTGACTGTGTATATAAGGATTTAAGAGATTATTTTACCAGAATAAGGTTGCTTTGTAGCCATCCGGTGTAAATGGTGTTTCTTTCCATTAACAAATTGAAGCGCTCTTAAGCACCTGAAATTAAATAACAGCTTAAAAAATAAATTAATATACAAAAAATTCAGGTTTACTGACAATATCAGATTATTTCCCATTAAAAAAAAAAAATCACCCAACTCTTTTTTCTGATGCCTTTCACGTGGGATTTCAAAAAGCTTTTCCAAATATTTTCACTATCCATAGTTTTCATTCTAATTTTGTAAATTAAAAAAAAAAAAAGAGCCAAATAACTTACCCAAGTTATGCAGTCAGTTGGTAGTAAAAGCCAAATAAGAGCTCAAATTTAATCTAGTAATTAAGAATCTGACACAGTGTCCTCTTCACTAAGTTGTACTACTGCCTCATTTTATTTCCCTTAAAAAATAATTGTTTGCGTATCAATTAAACTGGTCATATTGAAATATAAAAGCAAGCCAGTATTATCAGGAGGTCCTTTCTTAAAGCAACAAAATACAATCACCTTTGTGCTAAAAAAAAAAAAAAAAGCAATAAAAATAATTGTGTACCTTATAAATTTATCTACAAGTTTTAGCCTTCATTATATTCATTAATTAAAATGTCATAAATCTTCTTTTCCTATTGCTAAGATATTCTTCAACTTGCATACAAAGCACCAAAATGCACATCAGCCACAACACACACAAATTCATCACTCAATCTCGGTCCATTACTCTTGCCAAGGTCAGTATCGAATATTCTTGAAATTTTCACTTGTAGAATGAATAGATGTTTTGTAAGGATTATCTATTCAGGCAGAAAAAAAAGGGGGGAGGGGAAGAACACAAGAAACAATTAGCTATTCAACTGGTACTGAGCAAATTCCAAGTACGGAATCCTTTGTTTGTTTTTATCTTGTTTTTGTTTTTCTTACCTACCTTGGGACTCCAGTCCACGAGAAGAAATACATCTTGTGAGATTTTTGTACAGCTTTTCTACAAACCTCCGTAGAGAAGGAAACGTTGTTGTCAGTTTTGGCTTCCTTTTGCAGTCAGGGACTGGGACCCAGAGTTATCTATTTGCATTTCAACACCCTTTTGTTTTCTGTCCCACAAGAGGCTCAACCAGTCCAAAAGCAGGTAAGGCAGTTAGATCACTGTAATAACCGTAGAAAACTCAAAGGAGAAAACTTTTGCAAACAATGTGGTTATTTTAGCAAAAAAACTGCTACTTATTTAATCATTCAAGCCTACAGAGCTCAAGCTAGACCATCTTGTTAAAAATTTACCTTAGATTGTTCTTAATTCTCTCTGTGCCCTAGAGAGAGAAGAACGATGGCAAAAAGCAGGGTTAGGGAACAGAGAGGAAGAGAGTTCTGTGTCTGGAATCTCTTCTGAATAAACAAATATCCCTAAAATATCAATATATTCATAGGAATTTACAGGTCACATTATTGCATTTGATTCTGAGAGCAACAGCCTCTGTCATTTCGGCTGAAGGAGCATTCCTATATAGCTCTAACAAAATTAAGAGAAAAGAATGTTTTCTAGGTGGAGAGAGTTGGAGAGGATTGGTAAAGGTGCAGCCATCCCAGTGCCTGAAGGACACTTAGATACAAATGCTGCTGGTGTATAATTCCTGTCACACCCACTCAGATGACTACATGGTCAAGATTCCAGAAAGTGATCCCCAGGACAGCTTTCTAAGCATTTAATATTCCAAGAGGCATCAGCAGATAAAAATGTGCAGAGTTGCAAATTGTTAATAGAAAAATCCCCCAGGGTCTATGTTGAAGGTCAGTGTTTGGGAAAAGGCTATATTATAATGGGGCTACGGAGTCACAGATTAGAGATAGAAGGGACCATAAGGTTCATTTCCTCAAGGTCCATGGTTACACGGCTGGTTTGTGACAGGCTATGAGCTGTAGGGTAGCTCTCTGGGCTCCCAATCTCACACTCTTGAGCTTTTGGTTACCAAACCTGCTTAGATGAGATCCACAGTGAGGTTATATTGTATAAAATTCTAAGACTTGGCAAGTCAACCTATAATGAAGATATATATGCATAGACTTCAAAGGACTGACTTTGTCATCACCTACAATAGCTCTGCCGGCAAGATTACTGATTCAGGCATTCAGCTTTTGGATAAGCATCTTTCCTTCCAACTTGCATGACAACAACTCCAACTGCTCTTAGAAATATTGGGGCCTCCAGTCTACTGATCCCTCTGCTTTCTCCCAATTCATTAGCCTTCAGCTGTTTTCACTTTCCTTCTTATTCAATTTCTAGTCCATGGTCTGTTATTACAATATCCTTTTTACCAGTCCCTTAAACTCCCTTCTTCTCTGTTTTTTCTACAAACGTATCTAGGAAAACAACAGCCCTCGTTGAACCCTGCCATCTCCTTTCTCTTTGCTTGCACACAACTGTCACACTCTGCTGGAGGTGATCAAAAGCATAGATAGGTTCATGGTCACCAACTTCTTATGGGCCCTCAATACTAACAACTGCATTTTTGTTTTATTTTTAAGAAATGGAGTCTTGCTCTGTCGCCTAGGCTGGAGTGCAGTGGCATAAACACAACTCACTGCAGCCTCCAACTCCTGGGCTCAAGAATTCCTCCTGCCTCAGGATCCAAGTAGCTGGGACTATAGGAACAAGCAACCATGCCCTGCTGTAACAACTGTGTTATGTTTCTTTTTACAACTCATTTTCCAACAATTATTTGAAACTTTCTCCATCACCTTCAAACTTCCAATACAGCCATCTCTCTCTCTTTACTCCTTCATCTTCTGCTTAGATGAGGACTCTCTAAATCTTTTTACACCCAAATCCCTGCTTTCACTCCTGCTTCAAGGTGAATGAGACTCCTCCTCCACAAGGAGAAATCCCTTCTCTTTTGCCTTACATTCTCTTCTCTCATCATCACCCACAACCTTTTTGTCACTGTTTTCTCATATCGCATCATTTTAATCAGAAAAGCCTATTGGTTCTGCCTTCAAAATATATCCAAAATCCAATAATTTCTCATCATGATCACTCCTACCCCCTCATCAAAGACATGGTCATCTGTCATCTAGACTATTAATGGTCTTTCAGCTTTCACCATTGTCCCGTTACAGTCTATTCTCAACAGTGATCTTTTGAAATCATAAGTCAGAGCATGTTCCTCCTCTGCTTAAAACCCTCCAATGGCTTTCTGTTTACTCAGAGTAAAAGCCGAACTCCCTACAAAGGCCTTTAATACCCTACCAGCACTGTCCAACAAAACTTTTTGTGGCAATGGAAATGATCTACATCTCACTGTCCAATACTGTAGCCACTTGCTACATGTGGCTACTGTGAATTTGAAATGTGACTAGTGCAACTGAGAAAATGAATTTTTAATTTTTAAAATTTTAATGAATTTACATTTAAGTAGCCACTTATGGCTAGAGGCCTCCATGTTGGAATGCTCAGCTCTGCAAGATCTATTCCCCGTTCACCCTGTCCACCTCTTTTTTTTTTTTTTTTTTTTTTGAGGCGGAGTCTCACTCTGTTGCCCAGGCTGGAGTGCAGTGGCGCGATCTCGGCTCACTGCAAGCTCCGCCTCCCGGGTTCCCGCCATTCTCCTGCCTCAGCCTCCCCCGTAGCTGGGACTACAGGCGCCGCCACCACGCCCGGCTAATTTTTTTGTATTTTTTTAGTGGAGACGGGGTTTCATTGTGTTAGCCAGGATGGTCTCGATCTCCTGACCTCGTGATCCGCCCACCTCGGCCTCCCAAAGTGCTGGGATTACAGGCTTGAGCCACCGCGCCCGGCCCACCCTGTCCACCTCTTGCCTGAGCCTAGAAAAGCCCACATCACACTATAAAAACTCCTTTGAAGTCAGATGATGTCACTCCTCTGCTCAAAAATCTCTATGGTTTCCCATTTTACTCAAAAGCCAAAGAAAGTCCTTATCTTGATTTACAAGGCCTCATATGATCTGGCCACCTCACCCTTCTCTCTGACCTCAGTCTCTAGCTTAATCTCTTCCTTGTTGACTCCACTCCAGACACAACATTGCCCTCCTTAGTGGAACACACTAAGTATGCTATTGCCTCAGGGCCTTTGCTCATGCTGTTTCCACTGCCTGGAACATTCTTTTTCCCAATATTCATATGACAAACTCAGAGCTCCTTCACTTCCTTAGTAAGTACTCTGCTACAAGTGTCTTCTGATGAGAGGCTGATCTGACCTTACTTGATCTGAAAGTCCTATCCAAAACAATTCCCTCCCACTTGATCATTCTCTATCTCCATACTCTGTTTTTGTTGTTGTTGTTGTTGTTGTTTTTAAGTAGAGACGTAGTCTCACCATGTTGCCCAGGCTGGACTTGAACCCCTAGACTCAAGTGATCCTCTCGCTTTGGCCTCCCAAAGCGCTAGGATTATAGGGATGAGCCAACATGCCTGCTCTCTGCTATTTCTTTATAGCACAGATCTCCATCTATGTTTCTTTACTTATTACTTGTCTCCATCCGCAGGGACAGCGTCTCTGTTTTATTCACAGCAGTATCCCTAATACCTGAAACAGTACCTGGCACAGAGTAGGGTCACAAACACACACACACACACACACACACACACACACACACACACACACGGCTGAATTTGATGAGTGAATATGCATGGCCCTATGGTGCCAAAGACTACTTGCAAGTCTCAACACTGGTCTACAACCCAGCACCCTCCTGCTGCTATTCCCTGGGGAGAGGTTGGGAATGGGTTCCTCTCTAAATATAGTATCCTCACTTGCAAGAGGGTAGCTGAGTGCTTAAACTGTATCAGCTCTAATCTTCACCATAACCCATTTTACCAGTATGGAAACAGACGGGTTAAGTAAACTACTTGAACTCAGCTAGAGTGACGCTGAGCCTGTTTCTTATGACGGGGTTTCCACGGTCAATAGAAAATTCTTCTATGGGCAGCTACAAAGATATGCATTAAAGTGACCACATAGCTTCATTATAAATCTCTTTACTGACTCTATGCCTTCATAGGGGAAAATAAGAATAACTACTTTTGTAACAGACTAAATGAAAATTAATTTCAGAGAGTTAACAGAAAATGGCCAGGTGCAGTGCCTCATGCCAGTAATCCCAGCACTTTGGGAAGCTGAGGCAGGCGGATCACTCAGGTCAGGAGTTTGAGTCCAGCCAGGCCAATATGGTGAAACCCTGTCTCTACTAAAAACACAAAAATTGGCCAGGCGTGGTGGCATACGCCTGTACTCCCAGCTACTCAGGAGGCTGAGGCAGGAGAATCGCTTGAACCGGGAGTCGGAGGTTGCATGAGCCAAGATCACACCACTGCACTCCAGCCTGGGCAACAGAATGAGACTGCCCCCAAAAAATAAAAAGAAAAAATAGAAAAAGAAAATGAATGTTATTCCCACTTTCATTTTTACTCCTCCCCTAACTGGCCTAAGTTTTTCTTACCAAATTGCCATGAGATTTTCAAAATGCTATGCTAAATAAAATACTGTTGGTCTTCATGTTTGAAAATGATGTTGCTGAGAGTGCTATTTTTTAAGCTAGAATTTTTACAGTCAGCAAATAAAGTAATGGTCGGTAAATTCAAGACCAGTTCCACAGAATGGATTGAATTCCTCTTAATCTGCTGGGCAAGAGTGAATGCTATTTTTTTTTCTATGTTTAACATATTCATGAGGAGCAGGGATGGAGTAAGTACATTCAAGCCACAGAGAGTCAAAATAATTTTTGCCATTGGTTTTAATTATATATGCCATGGTATCTTCTGGTAGAAATTACAAACTATAAACATTGGTTTGTGTTTCACATCCCATTCTTTTCCATTGTTGCCTGACAGAAGCCCCAATGAATAGAGAAGTTACATCCTTGGCTACAAAAATGGGGATGCAATTAGAATCATCCAATAGACAAAGAACCTAAAAAAATTTAAGGATTTTGGCACTCCTGTTTCCAATGTCTTTGCTTCTCAGAGGGAAAAAACTCAGGTGAAGCAATTTGCTGCAAAGTACAGACACTGTGACACATTCAGCAAGGACCAAGGTGTCCTAATTTCCCTGCAATCAGTGTGTTTTCTTTTCTTTTTTTCTGTTTTTTTTTTTTTTTTTTTTTTTTTTTTTGAGATGGAGCCTTGCTCTGTCGCCCAGGCTGTAGTACAATGGCACGTCTCGGCTCACTGCAATCTCTGCCTCCTGGGTTCAAGCGATTCTGCTGCCTCAGCCTCCTGAGTAGCTGGGATTACAGGCGGATGCCACGACACCTGGCTAACTTTTGTATTTTTAGTAGAGACGGGGTTTCACCATGTTAGCCAGGCTGGTCTCGAACTCCCGACCTCAGGGAATCCGCCTGCCTCAGCCTCCCAAAGTGCTGGGATTGTAGGCATGAGCCACTGTGCCTGGCCCAGTGTGTTTCATTCAAAAACCAATGATTACCTTCCAATTGGTCTGGAAGAGGGAGATAATCTCCACAGAAAACCTGCATATGAGTCTTCTGACACTGTTCACAGTTAAGAATTGCAAATTACTTTACAAAATTACTTCTCTCAAAATACTCAGACACCTGGCCACAGACTGCCAACCTAATACTAAAATAGGCACCTTGATCAGCTCACGCTGTGACTTTAACCATTCAGCTGCATTTGACCACAGTGACAGATATCTTTGCCAAAAGAAATATGAAAAACTCTGGGAGCTGATTGCAAAATTGGGATTGGTCCAAACTTTTCCAAAGTGATGGCTCTGTTGTCTGGAATGTCTCACAGCCAGGACATTTTTCTCAACATGTCAGCTCTACATAACGAAAGCAATAAGAAGAAAATCAGATGTGCACAGAGCTTTTCTCTCTCTGCCTAATATGGGAATAATAATTAACTGTCCAAAAATGTAAGCACTGGCTCATGGCTGATGATTCACCTTTAAAGTTGTGCAAAGAAAAAGGCCAAACCTTTTGCAAAGCATGTATCAGTCATGAAAATGTCTATTCCCTTTGACACAGTAATCTTATTGCTGGAAACTGATCCTAAGAAATGATCCAAAAGAAAAGATGTTCACTACAAAATATGAATGCCCAATAATCAGAAAAATGTTAATTATGGTACATCTTTCTAATGAAATTCTATATTATCATTAAAAATGAATTATGAAGACTGTCAAAATATACAGAAAATACTGAGGATGATATTAAATTGAAAAGCAGAATACAAATGATATATGTGCATTATGAATGTAACCATGTTCAAATATATTTGCACAGAGGAAAAATGGAATGGCAGTATTATGGGTGTTTTTTTATCTTAACATTTTGTAATGTTGACCTACTGTTTTATATGTAGAGAGAACACTCTGTTGCCCAGGCTGGAGTGCAGTGGTGCAATTATAGCTCATTGCATCGAACACCTGGGCTCAAGCAATTCTCTCACCTCAGCCTCCTCAGTAGCTAGGACTACAGGTGCCAGCCACTGTGCCAGGCTTGTTTTAATCTGTTTTTAAGTTATGTACAATATTTCATATTCCTTTTATTATACAATAAACCAGCACACAAATAATTTTTAAATTATCTAAAATAGCTAGCTCATTTCAAATATTTGTCCTTTAAAAATTAGGAGCAGGACACTTGCCCAACATTTGACAACCAGCAGGATATCCATGCCAGTTTTGCTTCAACCCCTCTGACCATTCCAAAGTTAACCTAGATTCACCTAAGCCCAGAATATAGTCAGATCAGAAAGGCACATGGCTCTGCCTCTGAAAAACTCTTGGCTCAGGCCCTCCCCTAAAGAAACCAGCCACCTGGCCCTGGGGATCTGGGTCTCGAGCCTCTACTACTATTTCCAGGGAAGACCTGGTTTGTGAAAACCTCTGGGTCTACTTCCTGCGGTCACCCCTGAGCTCTGGAAGGCAAGTAAGCGATTTCAATATGGACTTTGGATCCTGGACCTAAAGGTAGAAAAATATACAGCTATGAGGTCTTTGTTTTGATGTTTTGTTTCTCAAAAATGGATTTTTTCACACCCAGTACATGTGGGGAGCAGCTGTTTTCTAGACAACCCTACAGCACTCCACAGAAAGATGAAGAGGTGGGGGCTGCCCCTCTTGCTTCTGGTCTGCTACCAAGAAGAGTTAATCATCTCCCCAAATAGTGCAGGGAATTAGTTTTAACCTTGAATATACAGGCTTTGCACTCAGATATTGGTCATTAATGTTTATGCATGAAAGGAGACAGTTTTTGTTTGGTATACAGAGCATTAAAAAGGAAAAAGGAACTAGTAACTTCTACAGGTTTCATTGTCTTGAGATCAAAATGTTCATAGCAACTCAGAAATCTGTCTAGAGAAATGTAGCTATTGCTAAGCTAATGCTTAGTAAACTCAAATAGACCCCATTTTTATTATTGATATATATATTAATTATATCATTTCAAATGCATACTTTTATCAATAATTCTTCAAAGGGAAATTTTTAATTTTACAGAATCTTTTTTTTAATCTATTGAGCTTTTTCTAAACCATCATATCTACATTGCTCAAAAATTGTTGAGACCCTGGGTCAAGGAGACATTCACATTGGCTTTCAACAGAAAATGTGCTTCTCTACACTAAAATGGCCACTTAAGCAAGACTGTGGAAATGATTTATCTCACAATGTTTAAAGCTGGATCCTCACTCCAGCTATGTCATGGCTGCACAATCAGTCAGAGACAAGTAGTTATACGCTCCTAAATAAAGAAGTGCACTCTAATGGCCAACAGAGTTGAGCATCTAACATACTAAAATTACCTTAATAAAAGTTAAATTACCCACATCCAAAAGAATACAAAAATCACTCGCAATAATAATGTTTAAGTGTTAAGAACAGCAGAACATAAAATAGATCTATTTACATCGCATAAATGTTATCTTCCCAAATTGGTGTTAGGTTAAGCCATGATATTAGCAGCATACAAGTCAGAAAGTAAGAAAGTAGTATATAAGTCAGAAAGTAGCAGTATATAAGTCAGAAAGAAAAAGAAAAGGAATCAAGCGGTATAACCAGAGGCTATCACATGAGAGCATAGATTGCTGTTTATTGTTCACTGTAGTATCCCCAGGACCTAGTAAGTTCTGAATAAATATTTGTTGAATGAATGAATGTATGAATAAGGGAACAGAGCTCATCAAAACAAAAACGCAATTTGCGTTGTAGAATTTTAGAGCCATGCATACTTGCCTTAACAAGTCAGAAAAGAGACTTCCCAAAAGTAACATGTTTGCTACTGACTATAATTAAAAATTGGGCGTTAAAATTTATGTATGGATCCTACATTTAAAATATGGCCAAGTTTTATTTTGTTTTTTGTTTGTTTTTTGTTTTTGTTTTTGTTTTTGTTTTTGAGGCGGAGTCTCGCTCTGTCGCCCAGGCTGGAGTGCAGTGGCGCGATCTCGGCTCACTGCAAGCTCCGCCTCCCGGGTTCCCGCCATTCTCCTGCCTCAGCCTCCCGAGTAGCTGGGACTACAGGCGCCGCCACCACGCCCGGCTAATTTTTTTGTATTTTTAGTGGAGACGGGGTTTCATTGTGTTAGCCAGGATGGTCTCGATCTCCTGACCTCGTGATCCGCCCGTCTCGGCCTCCCAAAGTGCTGGGATTACAGGCTTGAGCCACCGCGCCCGGCCTTGTTTTTTTTTTTTGAGATGGAGTCTCGCTCTGTCGCCCAGGCTGGAGTGCAGTGGCACGATCTCAGCTCACTGCAAGCTCTGCCTCCCGGGTTCACGCCATTCTCCTGCCTCAGCCTCCCATGTAGCTGGGACTACAGGCACCCACCACCACGCCCGGCTAATTTTTTGTATTTTTAGTATAGACGGGGTTTCACCGTGTTAGCCAGGATGGTCTCGATCTCCTGACTTCGTGATCCATCCGCCTCGGCCTCCCAAAGTGCTGGGATTACAGGCGTGAGCCATCGTGCCCGGCCTTTTTTTTTTTTTTTTTTTTTTTTGAGACAGAGTCTCACTCTGTTGCCCAGGCTGGAGTGTAGTGGCTCGCTCAACTCACTGTGACCTTCGCCTCCTGGGTTCAAGCGATTCTCCTGCCTCAGGCTCCCAAATAGCTGGGAATACAGGCATGCACCACCACGTC